AGTTGTAACCACAGACCCTCCACTTAAAGTCTCTGAGCCTCAATTCCCTTATTTAAGAATTAATTTTGAGATAATTTCAGAAAGTTCCTAGTACAGAGCCTGGCACACAGTAAGCATCCAACAAATGGCAAAGAATTCAGCACCAAGACACTGAAGAAAGGTGGCAATTAAGATTCAGGTTTCGTTCACCCGGGACGAAACATACTCTTCTCCCTATAAACATTCAGTAATAAGTTACTATGAGATCACCTACAATCTTACATTTCAGGAAACACCACAAACCCTGCGGACACATTCCCATTATCCCCTGCCAAAAGTGAGAATAAACAGACCCCATTCTGCAAATAAGATTACCGAGGGAACGACGAATAAGTAATTTGACGGAATTCCTTGACTGAGGCCACAGTAGTTGCCAGAACACAAAACTCAGTTATTCCATTAAGACCCCTCTAACCCCTCCGGCCTCAGTGCATCACCTTTTCCAAAAGCCTGCCTTCCCACCCAACTGAAAAGCGCCCCCTCGCCGGTCTGAACGACAGCCCCGCTGCTGGACAAGAGCCCTCGTGGCGCGGCCCGGCCCCGACTCCTCCCCAGGGCCCTCCGCGATCCTCCCGCTCTCCTGCCGCTGCGGTCCTCGCCGGCCCCGCCCGGCTCCGCACACGGGGCACCGAGGAGCCGGGCCCGGGGCGGAGGGGAGCGCCGGCCGCTGCCTCCAGCCCACGGCGCCACACCCACCGGCCGCCACCCGCCGCATCTCCGCGTCGTCGCCCCCAGTCCCGTGGAAGCCCCCGCGGACCGTCCCCGCGGGCGGCGCCCCCACTCCTCACCCCAAACCGGGCTCCGGCCCCTTCTCGGTCGGACCCCACGCGCCGCGGCTGGCGCACCCGAGACGCGCCGTCGTGGCCGTGCTGCGGCCCACCGCCCGCTCGCTCCGCTCCGCTGCCCTCAGCCCCTCGCCCGTACCGCCACCTCACCCGCGGCTCGGCGGCCAGGGTTTCCGGACGCTCACGTGACCCGCCCTTCCCCGAGGCATGCTGGGAGCTGTAGTCCGACCGCGGCTGCACCGGCAGGCCGCCAGGGTGGCGGGGAAGGCGGAGGGAGGAGGAGGACGGAGGCCTTGGTGAACCTGGCTGCTGGGCTGGGGGAGGGGACGATGGCCAGGAATGTAAACTGGAAAAAGGCAGTGAGAGAGAGGTAAGATATAATCTGGAGAGAAGTGCTATCTAGGTCATCTTTTTTCAGAAAAGCTTTACTCTGCTCTTTCTTTTTATTAAAAGTAAAACGCTACTAAGTTTGCTACTGAGTAGCCAGCCATAAGGGCATAAGACTTAGATTTTTGTTTAAATTAATTAAATGCAGTGGCCCCTGCAGGCGGCCAGTAATCTGCCGCTATCATTCACCGTTCTGCGCTCCACCCCCCCCAACCCAGTCAAACAGATGAATGTTAAGATCCTGACAGCCTCTCGAAAAATTTAAAGGCCTTAGGACACAGGACTTGCAAGTAAAATCTGCTGCCCTCCTGGGCTCTCTTTCAACTGTTGGGGAAATACAACTTTAAAAAGAAATCTCCTAACCCAGAAAACCTCTCCACGAAGAGAGCAGAGAAAGAAAACAGATTTACTGGGCGCCTGGGTGGCTCAGTCATTAAGCGTCTGCCTTCAGCTCAGGTCATGGTCCCAGGGTCCTGGGATCGAGACCCGCATCGGGCTCCCTGCTCCGCGGGAAGCCTGCTTCTCCCTCTCCCGCTCCCCCTGCTTGTGTTCCCTCTCTCGCTGTGTCTCTGTCAAATAAATAAAATCTTTAAAAAGAAAACAGATTTACTACTGGATAAGCATTAAACCAGAACGTGATGCTCATTATGAACAATGAACTAACAGATTGCAAAAAGACAGGGGCGCCTGGGTGGCTCAGTTGGTTAAGCCACTGCCTTCGGCTCAGGTCATGATCCTGGAGTCTCGGGATCGAGTCCCGCATCGGGCTCCCTGCTCAGCGGGGAGTCTGCTTCTTCCTCTGACCCTCTTCCCTCTCATGCTCTCTCTCAAATAAATAAATAAAATCTTTGAAAAAAAAAAAAAAGACAGAAAGGAATCTCCCGCATATACAGCCAAGCATATACAACCCCTTACATGCATGTTTTCAGGATAAACCATCACCAGTCCTCAAACGAGAAGACTTGACAGGACATTTTGTTACATATAGTTGGTCCTAACTTTATCATGGTAATTGGGGAGACTGCCTATGTTGGCTTCTTCAAAGGAGAAACAAACTCCTCATATCTTTAGGACAAGAGATAGTGTTGCAAGTTGGAGCAAGGCGCCCACAGATGTTAGGCTTGGGAACTAGGGGCCTGGAGCACTCCCCGGATGTTTATTTCAAAAGCTGGCTCCTGGGTCCTGGAAAGGTTCCTGATAGGAGACTGGCAAGAGATTATTTAGCCATTACGAAGCTATTCATCTATTTGAAAGGGACAAAGAAAGAAATTTTGAAAGAAAAAGAAAGAAAAGGGCAGGGTGGAGGTGGGGGTTCTTCTTTAGTTTCTCTTCCCTTCTTTTTTTTTTTTTAAAGACTTATTTATTTGACAGAGAGAGACACAGTGAGAGAGGGAACACAAGCAGGGGGAGTGGGAAAGGAGAAGCAGGCTTCCCGCGAAGCAGGGAGACCCATGTGGGGCTTGATCCCAGGACTCTGGGATCATGACCTGAGCCGAAGGCAGACGCATAACAACTGAGCCACCCAGGCGCCCCTCCCTTCCCTTTGCTATTTCTAAGGGAGAATTAAGCCTCTTATTTTCAATTTGTATTTGCCATGTGATGTCAGGGTGAGCAAAACCAAATCAGCCAAATGGTTCACTTTTCTTTTAAAAAATGTGGAGGGGTTCCTGGCTGGCTCAGTTGGTGAAGTATGCAACTCTTGATCTTGGGGTGGTGAATTCGAGCCCCATGTTGGGTGTAGAGATTACTTAATAAAATCCCTACACGTGCATATATGGAATATTATTCAGCCTTTAAAAGGAATGAAATTCTGACACACGCTACAACATAGATGAACCTGGAGAGCATTATGCTAAATGAAATAAGCCAGTCACAAAAGGACAGATATTGTATGATTCCATTTACATGAAGTACCTAGAGTAATCAAAATCATAGGGAGAGAAAGTAGGATCATGGTTAGTAGAAATGGGAGTTATTGTTTAATGGGTAGAGTTTCAGTTGGGGATGATGCAAAAGTTCTGGAGATGGATAGTAGTGATGGTTGCACAACAATGTGAATATGTTTAATGCCATTGAACAGAATCCTTCAAAATGGCTAAAATGGAGGCACCTGGGTGGCTCAGTCAGTTAAGCATCCAACTCTTGATTTCAGCTCAGGTCGTGATCTCAGGGTCGTGAGATGGAGCCCTTTGTTGGGTCCCACACTCAGCACAGAGTCTGCTTAAGATTCTCTCCCTTTCCCTCTGCCCCTCCCCACCCCAGCTCTCACTCTCTCTCTCTCAAAAAAAAAAAAAAAGCTAAAATGGTAAAGTGTACATATTGTGAAACATATGTGTGTGCATGTACATATGTCTACGTATGCATGTGTGGAGAGGAATAAAATAAGTATAGGGCGCCTGGGTGGCTCAGTTAAGTGTCTGCCTTCAGCTCAGGTCATGATCCCAGGGTCTCCTTGCTCAGTGGGGGACTCCTTGCTCAGTGGGGAGTCTGCTCCTCCCTCTCCCTCTGCCCTCCCCTGGTTTGTGCTCTCTCTCTCTAGCTCTCTCTCAAATAAATAAATAAAATCTTTAAAAAAATAAATTAATTAAATAAAATAAGTATATAACCTGCGTCACTACCACCCAGGCCAAGAAGCCCACACCACACTCTGCGCTCATAGTCATGTTGGCAGAAATGGTCTGGTGGAGAAAGTCAGAATGGGGGAGACGGAATCTCTCTCTCTCCTTAACTTCCATAACCATCTAGGCATTTTACTATTTGATTATTTTTTTTTAAGATTTTATTTATTTATTTGCGAGGGAGAGAGAGAGAACATGGAGGGGGGAGGACAGAGGGAGAAGCAGGCTCCCCGCTGAGCAGGGAACCTGCCCGCAGGGCTCCATCCCAGGACCCTGAGATCATGACCTGAGCCAAAGGCAGACGCTTAACCAACTGAACCTCCCAGGCGCCCTAGACATTTTACTATTTGATTTCTACTTCTAGATGTTCTCCAAGTACTGGGGCTGAGTCAGCTGACTTTTTTTTTCTTCCCCAGTAACCATTACCAGAAGAAGAAACCGTTTTGACACCTAGCCTCACCGACATGCACATCTAACAGGTTTTATTTCCTGCCTCCCACCCATACAGGGTGCTGGATCTTGAACTATATGTCATTTTCAGTGCACAGACGTCTGCCTGTGACTCCCCAAGTGACAACGTGCCCCAGGTGCACTCGCCAGTGCTTTTGTTTTCTTGCTCTACCTGCCAGCACCGGGTTTATGACTCAAGAGAGGTTCCTGAAAAGTGATGTGTAAATGGAATATGGGGTAAGAGAAATTATAACTTACAGGTTTTCTGAAGGAATTACAGAAAGAAATGCTCTTGGAAAGTGAATAAACCCTCATCTATTTCAGTGCTTCTCGATCTTTTTAGACCCCAACCCACAGTAAGAGATACATTTTACATCACCTGGGTACATCCATGCATGGACACAACTGACCCAAACAGGGTACGAAACAGTACTTAGCCTTACCGCATGAGATACATTCTGAAATTCTGTCCTAGTTTCTTCTGTAAAAATGCTGGTTGCAGGCCACCTGGCTGGCTCAGTCGGCAGAGCACAATGCCTCTCAGTCTCGGGTCGTGAATTAAAAGCCCATGTTGGGCATGGAGCCTTCTTTAAAAAAAAAAAAAATGCTGGTTGCCACCCACAAAAAAAATGGATTTCATGACTCACTAATAGGTCTCAGCCCACAGTTTGAAAACACTATACCAATTTAAATATTTTATCAATCTGATGTTTCCATTTTGCACATGGTAGCTTAACTGCCTACACCTTACATTCTACATTATGGAGAAAATCTAGTCCCTAAGATATGATAAGCGGTGACTCTTCCAGACTCTGTGAGGGAAAAACTTAAGTTTTATGCTTTTACTGCCAGTAGGAGACTGATAAATTCTAGGTTTTCTCAGACCTAGAAATCAACCTTCATTCTGTGGTAGATTTTTTGAGGAAGGAAAACAAATGTTTTTCAGCTCTTTCTTCCCATGCAAGTTCAGAGTTGTTTTGTTTTTGGTTTTGTTTTTGTTTTTTAATCTTCTCTTTGGGTCGCCTCCTTTCTCTCCGTGGCTCCTCAGAAAGAGTTATTCAAGTCCACAAAACAGCCAAATGACTCAAGACCTAGATCTGTATTCTCCTTCACCTTGCCCCCCCTCAACTAGCCGCCCCCCACCCCAGCCAAACAAGGGACCCCAGGAAAAACCGGAGGGCAAGGACTGCAAAAGAGAAGGTGAGTAGAAGGAAGGAACAGGGTGGCTGAATAGTTAAGGGCTAGTCCTTGTCGTCTGGCTCTGCTAAGTGCCGAATGTCAGGAGGGCAAGTTGACTGCGTGGGGAGCACTGGCCAGCGCCTCGCCCTGCGCTTTGTACCCAACGGCAGCTGAGGCCAGGGCGGTGGGAGGGCTCGCGCTTTCCTTTCACTTTCTCAGGTCGCCAAGCCCGACACCTGGGGACCGAACACCAGCTCCCACCACTCCGACCAGGCCCGGAGGGAGGAAGAAAGGTGTGGAGGGCGGGGAAGGAAAACTAGGAGAATAAAGTAAACATTACCTGCCAGCAGAGGTGGGAGAGCGAGCCAGGTAAGCAACAGGTGAACCAGGAAGGTGAAGGCTACAGGATGCGGGGTGGAGGGCATCCGGCACCGGCGGGTGGGCACTGCTCATTTCTCCTTGCAGGGGGCGCTGGCTAAGGTAAAGAGGGCTTTTGTGAAAACAAACCCGGAGGACTTGCTTGGGGCAGGGGGAAGGTGGAAGTAAGGTCCCTCCCTGCTCAAGGTAGTGATATGACACCGGAAGTGGAATGGCCTTCTTTATTTGAAAAGCCAGAAGGAAAAAAGTGGTTTCATTGTGTCTTTTGTCTGCTGCATCATTTGCCAGAGGTGAGTTTCAGAGGCGTCCAAGAGAGGAATGGGAGCCTTCTTCATCTGTTTAAAGCTCAGGGTTTTCATGTACAGATTATGAGTCTGTGTGCTTTCTTATTTGTGTGATGATTCAGACCTGTCCTTTTCTGACTTTAGAGAAAACCAAAAAATAAAACTGGAAGAAATGGAGGAGGGTGTCATAAGGCAGGAACAACGTGAAGCATGTCAAATTTAATCATCCAATGGGATAAGTTTTCATGTATTTTTATGAAACATTGGATGAGGAGACCCAACACAACATCATGTGAAGAACGGTTGAAAGGCCCAGGGATATTTGCCTTGAGGGGATATGTTTGCTGCCTCAGATTTCTGATGGGCTGTCATGTGGAATCGGAATCTGCCAAGTCCTGGCACAGCCCGAGGGGCAACAGATGGAAACCCCATGGAGATAGAGTTCAACCCATGTAAATTACAGTTGCACATGCCAAGTGGATTCTTGCAGGAGGTAGTAAGTTCCCTGTGATCAAAGATATCAAAGTACAGGTAGATATTGAAGCAGAAATGCTGAGGTGGGAATAAAGTTTCAGGTGAGTGATTCTGTTGATCAGTGCCCCCCCAACCTGGATGGTCATCAGAATCACCTGGGAAGTGTGTGCCTGTGTGTGTGTGTCTTTAAATATATTTGGCAGATCTCGAATGGGCTCTAGCAATATATCTTTCTAAGTATCTCTTTCAGATAGTTGTGACATAATCAGTTTGGGAAACACTGTCATTAGAAACTTTAAGTTATTTCTCAGCCCAGAGTAAAATATGCCATAAACACTTGAAAACCATAGTTTTCATTTTGGGGTTTTTTGGGTTTTTTTTAAGTTTATTTTTAAGTGATTCCTACACCCAACATGGGGCTTGAACTCACAACCCTGGGATCAAGAGTCATGTGCTCTACCAACTGAGCCAGCCAGGTGCTCCACGTAGTTTTCATCTTGAATATTCTCGAAATCGTAATTTCCTGGTCAAGAAAACCAGAAGAAAAAGGCCATGTCTCTCTTCCCCAAACTGACTTCTGTGTCAAATCTTGTCGGTCCTTGTTGCTGGTTGCCTGGACGGTCTGTCTTCTGTAGTTGGGAGTTTTCCTCCCCGTGGGAAGTGAAGCTAGGATGACAGCGAGGAGTGTTCTCCACCTGATGAATGGCAGGTGGGACACTCCCGTAGGCATCTACCCTGCCATCCTCCTGCTCTGGGCGCTTGACAGAGCATGGGGTACTTCCTCGCCTCAGTGACTAAGATTTCAGTCAATGTTGTCATCTGAGAGTGTCGCTTGTGTGCTGGCCCCCACAGAGAATGGCAGTTAAACCTCTTCATTTTAAAGCAATGCCAACCCATGGAGACTAGGTGTGGGCATGTGGGGACAGCTCCCTTGTACCTGACCAGGAATTAATATCCTTCTCCCACAAGAATGCGAGTGCTATGAATGAACAACCTCTCTTTCTCTTGTCCTGTCCTACATCCCAAGTGCCTAGAACAGTGCCTGGTGCCTGATGGAACAGTGTCTAGTTCACTAAAAAGATGCTGGATTCCTTCTTTTCTTCCTAGGTCCATTCTAGGTGGCAAGGAGCCATGCAATTCTCCAGCTCATCCAGGGCAGCAGATGAGAATTTTGACTATTTGTTCAAGATTATCCTCATTGGGGATTCCAATGTGGGGAAGACGTGTGTGGTACAGCATTTCAAATCTGGGGTCTACACAGAGACACAGCAGAACACGATTGGGGTGGACTTCACTGTGCGCTCCCTTGAGATCGATGGCAAGAAAGTGAAGGTCAGAAAGGCACGGGGTTGGCTCCTCCTCTCTTAGCTAGAGGTTTTTTTTTTTTTTTTTAAGATTTTATTTATTTGAGAGAGAGAGAGAGAGCATCAGCAGGGGGGAGGGGTAGAGGGAGAAGCAGATCCCTACTGAGCAAGGAGCCAACGTGGGGCTCCATCCCAGGACCCTGGGATCATGACCTGAGTCGAAGGCAAATGCCCAACTGACTGAGCCACCCAGGTGCCCCTTAGGTAGAGTTCTTAACACCACAACACATGCCTGAGGAATAAAAGATTTAAATATAAAACATGAAGTCATAGGAATACCAGAAAAAAAGACCATTGAAATATTTATTTTTATCATTGTGGGATGGGGAAATCAGCCTTTTTTTTTTTTTTTTAAGATTTTATTTATTTGAGAGAAAGATTGAGAGAACGAGTGGGAGGAGGGGCAGAGGGAGAAGCCAACTAGCCGCAAGCAGGGAGCCTGATGCAGGACTCAATCCCTGAGATCATGACCTGAGCCAAAGGCAGATGCTTAACTGACTGAGCCACTGATGCACCAGCAGTCTTTTTTTTTTTTTTTTTTTAAGATTTTATGTATTTATTTGAAAGAGAGAGAGCAAAGCGGGGGAGAGGGGTATGAGGAAGCAGAGAGAGAGGGAGAGGAACAGGCAGACTCCCTGCTGAGCGCAGAGCCCAACGCAAGGCTGATCCCAGGACCCCAAGATCATGACCCAAGCCGAAATCAGACGCTTAACTGACTGAGCCACCCAGGCGCCCCAGGAAATAAGCCTTTTAAGACAAGAACCCAGAAGCCATAAAAGAAAAGATTGCTCAATCATAACTACCTAAAGGCCAAGTTTCTATATCTCTATATAATGATATAAAGGTCAAATTTCTACATCCACAAAAATACCATAAACAAAGTCAAAAGATGAATGACAAACTGTAAAGAAATACTTGCAAATATGGAACTGACAAAAGGCTAATTTCTTTAACATAAAAGGAGCCCCAATAAATATCTAAGAAAAAGACTAACAACCAAATACAAAAAGTAGGCAATCCACAGATTGGACACAATTGCTATTTCATAAATTCGATAAGAACTAGTTCAGAAATTCATGTCAAGATATAAAGGTGCCCATCCTCACTCATGATTTTAAAAGTGCAAATGTGAATCAAAAACCAATGATGTAATGTATGGTGATTAACATAACATAATAAAATTTAAAAAATAAAAATAAAAGTGCAAATTCAAATAACAGTGAGAGACTTTTACCCATTTGGTTAGAAAAGATCAGAAAGTGTTGGTGAAAGTGTTGGTGAAAATGTAAAGCTTGGGATCTTTATTAAATAAAAACAACTGTAAAAAGACATTTTGGAGACAATCAGGAGAATTTTAACATATTAGATGATACCAAGGAGTTAGTGAGAAGCTGATTAGCAGTGATTAGGGCATTGTGCTTCTGTATGAAAATGTCTACTTTTGACACAAATGAAATGACATGACGTCTGGGATTCACCCAGGTCAGTAACACCTCAGGGGCGCCTGGGTAGCTCAGTGGTTGAGTGTCTGCCTTTGGCTCAGGTCATGATCTCAGGGTCCTGGGATCGAGCCCCGCATCGGGCTCCCTGCTCAGAAAGGAGCCTGCTTCTCCCTCTCCCACTCCCCCTGCTTGTGTTCCCTCTCGGTGTGTCTCTGTCAATAAATAAATAAACTTCTTTAATAAAAAATAAATAAAATAACACCTAGGGGCTAGATGAAGCAAGAGTGGTGAAATCTTGATAATTACTGAGTCTGGATATTGGCTATATGAGGGTTCCTTGCTTTATTCTCTCTAGTTTGGGGTACGTTTGCATCTTTCTTTAGGGGCTCTTGGCTGGCTCAGTCGGTAGAGCATGCGACTCTTGATCTCAGGGTCATGAGTACAAGCCCCACACTGGGTGCCGAGTTTCCTTAATGAAGTAAAGAATTAATTAATTAGTATATTTTATAAATAGTGTGAGAGAGTGAACAAACGGGTACCCTCAGACACAGTGGGAGGGTGTACAATCAGGTGCCCCGGCGTGGGATGGTCACTGAGAAGGTATTATCATAAGGACACTCCTAAACAGACACAGCTGAGTGGTCCTTTAAAATCAGAACGGTTCAGCCAGTGTTATCACCTTGAGTGGGATCAACGAGCAGGTTCCAAAGGTTGACCCCGAAATCTAGACAAAGGGATGATGGAGGTAAAAAGGTCAAGAACACCAGACCTATGACATTGGGTCCACCTCTCCGACTAAAGTGTCCCTTAGGTGGTGGCTCCCAAACCTGAAAGCACATCCAAATCACCCTGAGGAGCAAAAGGAAACACGGATCCCTGGGCCCCACTCCTGACCTACTGAATATCTCCAAGTGAGACCCAGGAAACTGCCTTTTTCGGACGAAGGAGGTGAGCAAGCTGCCATCAGGCACGGGAACTCCTGATGCAGACCCCCCTTTCCTGCCCTCTTCCAGATGCAAGTGTGGGACACGGCGGGCCAGGAGCGCTTCCGGACCATCACTCAGAGCTACTACCGCAGTGCCCACGCCGCCATCATTGCCTACGACCTCACCCGACGGTCCACCTTCGAGTCTGTTCCTCACTGGATCCACGAGATAGAAAAATACGGAGCGGCGAACTTGGTCATTATGCTGATTGGTATGGCGTTTTCAAAGCATTTGGCTTTTCTTTCCTGGGCCCCTCTGCGGATGCTCAGGTTTTTGTGTGTTTCTGATGGCAAGGGAACGTGAAATCATAAAAGTGCAGGTGGTAGACGGGACCTCACAAAGCGGCCCCCAAACTCCCACCAGATTCACTGGAGAATGTGGGTGGAGGGGTGTGAACTTGTTAATAATACGGTTTCCAAGGCCCCACCTTAGAGTGTCTGGTCCCAAACACCTGGGATGGGGCCCGGGCTACTCGATGAAGGCATCATATCCCAACTGATTTGATGCAAATGTGTGTAGACCACACAGGAAATCCCCTGGAGGCTGAGGTTAACAATATCAAACAGCTCCAAATCCCCAAGGGAGCCACTCACAGGCCTGGGACCGCACCCATGAATGACTCCTTTACAACTGCTAGGATCCTAAGCAAATCTTAACGACAAACCACCATCAAAATTAACAGCAACTTCAACTGCACAAAGGAAACGGCCGGCTTAACGTGAGCGGTCCTACTGCATGTTCAGAAGGTGTACATTTCCATCCCTTCTCAGTAGTTTGAGTTTTGCAAACAGAGCTGCCTTTTCCTTCCTCCTATGAACACAACTATTAACTAAGTGGCTGTTTGATTTTGGCAAGATGGTTTAGGCCCTTGCTCCTCAAAGTGCGGTCTGTGGGCCAGCAGTTACCCGCCAGAGTTTGTGAAAAGTGCAAGATCTTAGGCCACATCCCACACTTCCTGAATCAGAATCTTCATTTTAAGAGGATCCTAAGGAGATTCATAGGCAAATGGAAGTTTACACAGAACAAGTCTAGACAGTGAGCTGTGAGACTCTCATGAGAAAGAGCTAAACACACCGTGTTTAATGGCTAATTCATCCTCTGACAAGCATGTCCTAGCCCTGTGGCCAGACACCCTCTGAGCCTTGTTCCTGATCTATAAGATGTGACTAATACTTAATGGGTTGTGGTAAAACTTTAATGAGATACTGTATATAAATTGCTTAGCAGTGCCTGGCACCAAGTAAGTGTTTAATAGACCGTAGGATGTGTTCTAGGAAGTTTGTTTGAGGAACGGTCTCCTCTATGTTCCAAATAATTCAGGGCTTAGAGGGGAGGGTGCAAGTTCCCAGGACCTAGGAAGAGCCAGCGATCAAGCCCCAGCCAGAGCAGGAGACACAGTGGGGCCAGCCTGCTTCTCCCCCTCCCCAACCCCCCTACCCTTCCAACACCCCCCCCCCCCGGCCGCCCTGCCCACCACCACCAACAGGCAGGACCTGTGCACCCTCCTCTCAGGGCTGGGCTCTGGGAGCCAGCCCCTTTGTGCTGTATTGTGCACCTGTTCCCTCTCTCAGCTGCTTCTCACGCCTTACTCTTACTCGTGGAATCCCTCAAAACATCATCTCCGACCTGCTCCCGCCACAGACCTCATTCTCTCAGTATCTCCTTGCTCACAAGGCAATCCCCGTTCCTTCTTTTCATGGCAAAGCATGACCCAGGCTGCTGGTCAACCCAAGGACGGGCAGGTGCGGGGCAAGGTGCCTACCTGAGACCAAGAGCTGGGCCCCGATGGTGAAGGTGGTCACAGGATGCAAAGCCTGGCCACAGGCGGGTCCTAGAAGAGGTCACTGGCACGTGTTCTGAGCACATCTAGCCCATTCATTATTACTGCCATGATTCCAGAAAGGGCGTTTTGATTCATAGTTCGGCTCCTGTCGTACGCACAGACTTGAAGGGAGCTCATGCCGTTCCTCTAACTTGAGAAACAAAGTCATTCCAAGAGCCTAGAGTGCGCTCCCTCCTTCCTGCTACCTCAGATCCAAAGTCCCAGATTCCACAGTCTGCTGCCAAAGTAGATGCCCCTCAGCTTCCGTCCCCTCGTTTTCTCCGAGGGGCTTGTCCCACATGGCAGAAAGCAGGGGGGAGAGATTAGTGAGGCTTCCCCACGGAGGGCACCTCGTCTCTCTGGGAGGAGCGAGATGCCTCTCTCCTGTAGCTTCTCACCCAAAGGCCCTGTTGGGACCAGAAACTTTTGTGATTTGACTTCTGGTATAAAGGACACTTCTACAAGCAGAGTTCAGAGTTCGAGGAATAAGCACTGACCCCAAAAGAGCTGTATTTCTTCCCCAACAACCACTTCTGGGAACAACGAAAAGAAGGATGCTCACGAGGTGTCCTGCATCCTTCAGGATAGCAGGGCCCCACCCTTGGGGTGTGAGGACCAGGGGCCGTGCTAGGGAGATGCTGGTGACAGGTGACATTAAACGCTTAGCCGATCCAGGTACAATTCTGAGCCCTCGGAGTCACTGCATTTAACTGGACTTTGGAGTCAGACAGATTGGGGTTCAGAGCTCCTTCTCTGCCTTCCCTTCTGAACTTGGACTCGTTGCTCTCTCTAAATTTCTATTTCCTCATCTATGAAACAGATACCTGCTTCAGGTGTACTGTTGAGTTGAATGGATATATCTGAAGCACTTAGCGTGGTGCTAAGACCTCAGTAAGGGGAAGCCATTATTTCCTGGTGGAGCAAAGATGAGGCTCTGCTGTGCTAGCTGGAGGGGCTCAGAGGCCCCCCCGGGGGGAGAGCGGAGCCAACGGGGAGGGACATCCATGACCTCCGGGGCAGAAGGAAACCCCACCAGGGGTAGCTCCCAGAGAAAGGACAAGGGTGGAAAACGTGCATCTAAGGGGAATGAAGACGTTCTGATCACACTAAGTTTTCCCAGGAAGGTGGACTGGATCTCTTTTCCATTAAATTCCTGTGCTCCCAACAATGTAGTAGTTGTTCCTTGGGGCCTGGAAGCCTGCAAGGCAAAGCTGCATGCCCCCAGGAACACTTCCCTTCTGAGCTATCTTTGGAAGACAAAGCCTTTTCTCCAATGTCCTGGGCCTCCCTCGATGACTCTCCCCCCAGCACTCTCCTTAACTGCTAATTCCTCTGCAGCAGACACAGATGGGGCAGAGGAGGAGGTAACAAATGCTAAGATGGGGGCACCTGGGTAGCTTAGTTGGTTAAGCATCTGCCTTCAGTTCAGGTCATGATCCCGGGGTCCTGGGATCGAGCCCCGCATCGGGCTCCCTGCTCAGTGGAGAGCCTGTTTCTCCCTCTCCCTCTGCCTCTCCCCCTGCTTGTGCTCTCTCGCGCGCTCTCTCCCTCTAGATCGCTCTATCTCAAGTAAAATAAAATCTTTTAAAGAATGCTAAGATGTGGGGCGCCTGGGTGGCTCAGTTGGTTAAGCGACTGCCTTCGGCTCAGGTCATGATCCTGGAGTCCCGGGATCGAGTCCCGCATCAGGTTCCCTGCTCGGCAGGGGGTCTGCTTCTCCCTCTGACCCTCCTCCCTCTCATGCTCTCTGTCTCTCATTCTCTCTCTCTCAAATAAATAAATAAAATCTTAAAAAAAAAAAAAAAAGAATGCTAAGATGTTGCAGGATTTCCAGGAATCTCACAGCTGTTGTGGTATCTACACCCTAGTCTGTCATTCCTTACAACCATCTCTGCCTCACTTTACGATTGGTTCTAGAAATGCCCCCAAAGATGATCAGGATGTGTCAGTTTAGGACGCAGACTTTCACACAAATGTCAGAGAGCTGATTGTGCACCAATTTGTACTGCTCCTTCTCTCCGGCCATTTACCGGAAGACCAGCCCCTTGGTAGTGTCCCTGTGTTTAAAATCCTTGGTGGACCCCCACTGCCCCCAAGATAGCATACAAATTCCTGAGCACAGCCTACAAGCACCCCGCTTTCCTCCTCCAGAAGGCTGGCTCTTATCTTTGCCTCATCCCTTCTGCTATTTGTGGCCTCCCAGCTCTTAGTACCCACCATGAGAGGGAGGGGTCAGGAGCCAACTTCCTTTATAGGTTATACGGGATGTTCTCCTGACTTCCCTCGGCACCTGCTATCTGTCCCCTTAGGATTTCAGGCAAACCTTCCACTTTAACTGCTGCTATATTTCCAAGTCCACGGTCTCTCAGCAAAAACCCTTTGTGCCTAAGAGTTCAGCCTTCAGAATCTGTCAGATTTTAGAAGAATGCATTCTATGTCATGTACCACCCTCAGTAGGTCTGGGCCAACACCCCAAGGTCAAATGCCTGCTTACTTAGGCAGTGCAGTGAAATGTGTGACATAGTCCTACAAAGCAGGTTGAATAAAAACCTCAAATGCCAGTTTAGGGCAGATGTTACTGTCAGAGGAATTGCCAAATACACTTAGGGGTTTCCGAGGTTTTTGGGTTTGGGAAATGTGGACAAGGGATTATACACCTGTAGTACTAACAACTGTTGCCATTCACCTGGTCCTTGACCTATATTATTTCGTGGCCTATCTCAGATCAGAAAATTCCTGTACAGTTGTTGAACTGCCTGTGTGTCTGTCTTGTCTCCGTAACAAGATGAGGCACTCCTTCCTTCGGGGCAGGAACATCTCTGGGTGCCCAACACACAGCCCTTACTTAGCAAGCAAGGATTTGGATTGCGAGGGGCAAACACACGGTTTCTTTCCCTTCCACCAGGTGTCCCGGCACATTGTGAGGTGTGTGGAGGGGCTGGGCACTGGGCAGACAGTGCTGCTGACCTGCCCTGGCAATGGGGCAGGTTGGCGGAGCAGGTCATAAAAGGCAGAAACAGTGCCACTGAGCCCAGCACCTACAGCTCAAAGTGAGGGATGCAAGGAGCTCCCACTCCTACAGCATCCCTCCCCACCCCACCCCCCCAAGAGGCTCTCACCGCTGCCTTCCAGAAGCAGAGCTGTGCCCTGAGCTTCAGCCTCCCGGGCTATGCATATGCATGCAGCTGTCTTGAAGAGATGTGCCTGAGTTCGTTTCCAGGGGCTGCTGTGACAAATTACCACACACCGAGCAGCTTAAAATCGTGGGAGGGTGTTCCCTCTCAATTCTGGAGGTCAGAAATCTGAACTCGGTATCACTGGGCCAAAATCAAGGCGTCCGCAGGGCCGCACGGCTCCGGGGGTTCCAAGGGAGCATCTGTTCTTTGCCTCTTTCCGCTTCTGGTGGCTGCCAGCACTCTGTGCTGTGGCCACAACATCTAGTGTGTACGTCCCTCTTCATCTTACCTCCTGTGTGTGTGTGACGTCTCCCCCCACCCCCCAGTCCACTCATCAGGGTACCTGTGGCTTTATTGGGGCCCATCCAGCTAATCCAGGTTCATCTCCCCATCTTGAGATTCTTAATAACATCTGCAAAGACCCATCTTCCAAATAAGGTGACATTCAGTTTCCAGGGATTAGAACCCGGTATCTTTGGGAGTCAGTTTTCAGCCCAGCCCAGTAGGTAGGTGGTGTCTCAGACTGAACACAGTTGTAAGAAAGGTTCCTTCAGCCCTGAGCCAACATTGCCTGGGGGATGGAGTCCTGCAGCCTGCAGCCTGGGTCTGCATTAGCAAGCCCTACTTTAGCCTACTTAAAAAAAAAAAAAAAAAAATTATTTTTAGGTAATCTCTACACCCAATGTGCAGCTCGAATTTACAATCCTGAGATCAAGAGTCCCATGCTCTACCAACTGAGCCAGCCAGGCGCCCCTGAGTAGACATTTTTTTAAAAAGATTATGTTTATTTATTTGAGAGAGCGAGCATGAGTGGGGGGGAGGAGCAGAGGGACAAGCAGACTCCACGCCGAGCATGGAGCCTGACATGGGGCCTGATCCCACACCCCGAGACCATGACCTGTGTTGAAATCAAGAGTTGGCCGCTGGGGCGCCTGGCTGGCTTAGTCGGTTAAGTGGCTGCCTTCGGCTCAAGTCATGATCCCAGGGTCCCAGGGTCCCAGGGTCCTGGGATTGAGCCCCACATCGGGCTCCCTGCTCCAAGGGAAGCCTGCTTCTCCCTCTCCCACCCCCCCTGCTTGTGTTCCCTTTCTCACCGTCAAATAAAATCTTAAAAAAAAAAAAAAAAAGAGTTGGCTGCTTAACCAACTGAGCCACCCAGACGCCCCCTAAATAGATATTTTTAATTTCAATATATGTCAATCCATCAGTCTTTCCCCAGTGATACAGTGCACAACTTTGCATGCACACACATGCAAAGGAGTGCACTGTATCAGTGGGGAAATCTGAATAAGCTCTATGGGATGTACCAATGGTAATTTCCTGGTTTTGATGTCAGACAATCATTCCCCAAGAGGTTACCAGTGGGGAAACTGGATGAACAGTACGCTAGACCTCCCTGAAGGACCTCCTTCAACAACCTGTGAGTCTATAATTGTTTCAAAATGAAAAGTTTTAAAGGTTTTCATGGTGGGGAGGGTTAATTATGGGGGGAAAGGGTCTAAGAAGGCTCCTTTATGAGAAAAAACAAGTTGAGAAACACTGGTCTGGCCCATCTTAATTACAGTAGCTTTGTAATAAATCCTGATGTCTGGTAGAACAAATCCTGCAGGAAAACAATTTTACCTTTAGATTCCTGCCTCAGAGAAATCAAAGTCCAATGATTGGATGCATGTAGGGTTGAAGTGGAAAAGCAAAAGAGATGGGTCACTCTTCCTTCTATAACCAGTCCTGGGCCATGCTCACAAAACCCTTCATTGAACTTTCTGGGGTAATAGGGAATGTTCTATATCCTGAGGGGAATGATGGTTACAGAGCATATACATTTGTCAGAATTCATGAACTGCACACTTAAAGTCTGCCTCCTGTTATATTTAAGTTGTAGCTAAATCCTGCATTATTCATTTCGTACCTTCAATCCGGCAAATCCTCATCACAAGCTCCTCATCTAGCCCAGGCCACCTGCTTGTGGATCCCACAGTATCCAACCCTTTGTGGTTTGGAAAAGAGAGCAGAAAGAGAAACAAGATTTGAAGGAGTAACAGAGAAGCCCGAGACACCCTCTCTGGCACAAGCTTTACCTAGTTAGACTTAGAAGGAAGGAATGACTGTCCCTCCGTAGAACGTAGAGGCTCCACCTGTCCCTGCCAATAAAACACACACCTCCGGCCCGTTTCTCACAGCTCCTCAGGATCTCATCTGACAGTGAATTAAGACAGTGGCTCTTTTTCCATCAATCCGTGGTTTCATTTTCAGTAAATCTGCCCACAATGGCTGTTTAGGAATGAATCACGCATGAATACTGTTGAACTAAAATGTTTCTATTAAAGGTTCATTAAAAAAAAAAAAAAAAAAAAAAACCACAGATTCAGTTCCTCCATGGAATATTTGCTTCTTTCTTGCTCCCAGGGAACAAATGTGACCTGTGGGAAAAACGGAATGTCCTGTTTGAGGATGCCTGCACACTGGCTGAGAAGTACGGCCTCCTTGCTGTTTTAGAAACATCTGCCAAAGAGTCTAAGAACATAGACGAGGTCTTCATGCTGATGGCCAGGGAGCTGATCACCCGCAACAGCCTGCACTTATTTGGGGAGAGCACCCTGAACAGCCTGTCCCCGGATTCTAGGCCGGTCCTTGTGGCCCAGGGTCCGAAGGAGAAGACCCACTGCATGTGCTGAAGACGTTCACGAGGCCAGTTGCAGCCACTGGATGCCACGTCTGATGCTGAAGGTAGCTGGATACCCTGTTGTCTGCCACGTAGCATCTCAGACCAAAGCACAGACTTGCCGCTGGGCCTTAACCCTTTCCTCCAGGATGGGGAGCACTTTGCCTGGAATCACACCAGAGGCCAGACCTGCTGACCCCGAGTAAAGCCACACCACTGTTTCTCTTGGTTCTGTTTCAGACTTGAGGCACAGGGGTAGGAGGACAAGGTCTACTCTTTATCCTTCCATTTTGTCTCCCCAACGCTTCCAACCAGTTTCTACTGAATTTTGCTTCTCGCTTGAAGAAGGTAGTGAAGAAAGAATAAAGGAGGGATATCAAGAGAGGGGAGAGGATGTTTAGAACATTCCAGAGCTGTTTAAAACAGCTGGGGTGCGGGGTGGGGGTGGGGGGGATGTGGAAAAAAAGCCTGCAGTGATAAACCAGAACGCTGTTAACTTTTGCTTCCCGACATTCACACCTCAGGTCTTTAGTTTGGGAGCAAAGCCTTTGACATCGAGACCATAAATACTGTCTTGCCAAATGGTCAAGAGCCATGTGATGGAGACAGAATTGGATCTCACTCTATCCTAGTGGGGCTGATGGGACCACCTTCCTAGAATGTGGGAGATGCCAACAATTTCCTTCTAAAATACCAGATTATCTGCTGGATAAAAACCCGCTTCTGAATTGAAATTCAGTTGGCTCACAGATGAATGTCAAGCCAATATTGACCTTGCTGTGTGGCCCCCATGCATGCCTTGTACCTTCCAGAACCTGTGGATAATAAACATTGTTTTTTCAAAGTTCCCTGATGGTTGTTGCTGGGGCACATCTTGTAATCATAACAAGAACCACAAGGGCTGAGGGGCGCCTGGGTGGCTCAGTCCTTAAGCATCTGCCTTTAGCTCAGGTCATGATCTCAGGGTCCTGGGATCGAGCCCCGCATCAGGCTCCCTGCTCGGCGAGAGGCCTGCTTCTCCCTCTCCCACTCCCCCTGCTTGTGTTCCCTCTCTCGCTATGCCTCTCTCTGTCAAATAGATAAATAAAATCCCTAAAAAAAAAAAAAAAAAGAACCACAAGGGCTGGTTCAACCACAACAATGGCTCTGAACCAGGAAAAGTCTGTGGGGACTCACCTCAGCACTACCCAGAGGCTGAGCCCAGCACAAAACAGATAACCACTAACTACGTGTGGCTTGAGTATTGAAATGTGGCTAATTCGAATTTGAGATGAGCTCTAAGTGCAAAATACACACCAGATTTTGAACACTTAGTACAAAAAAAAAAAAAAAGAGTATAAAGAATCTTACAGGGGCACCTGGGTGGCTCAGTCATTAAGCGTCTGCCTTTGGCTCAGGTCATGATCCCAGGGTCCTGGGATCGAGTCCCACATGGGCTCCCTGCTCAGCGGGGAGCCTGCTTCTCCCTCTCCCACTCCCCTTGCTTGTGTTCCCCATCTCACTGTCTCTCTCTCTGTCAAATGAATAAATAAAATCTTAAAAAAAAAAAAAAAGGAATCTTACAATAATTTTATATTGATTATATTTTGAAATATTTTAGATACACTAGGTTAAATAAACATTTTATTAATGTTTCACCTGGTTTTTTACTTTTTTAAATGTGGCTACTAGAAAAATTTAAATTACATACGTGGTTCACACCATACATCTTATCAGATGGTACAATGAAGCAATGCCCCTCAAAGTGTAGTTCGCCAACCAGACGTGTAAGCGTGGCCAGGGGATGCTTGTTACCGATTCTTGAGCCCGTGACTGATGGAATCAGACTCTTTTCAGAAATCCACGTTCACCCAAGCTTGCCGGGTGATTCTTCCCCACACTGAAACTTTCAAATTGCTACTGTATAGAGGTTGGAGGGGTTAGGAGGAAGATCATAGAGAAGTAATCACATTTTAATTCATTTCACGATATATTGGTTGGACCTACCTTTAGGAAGCATGAGGGAAATCTAGTTCTATGCCAGAGAGAATACATGCATCAGAGCAGATCAACCTCTTTCATCTTCATGTTATTGTTCTGAAGGAAGGGTTAAGCACAGCAGAACCTCATAGGCAGATCAGGAATGTATCCGTACTAAAGCCACTGCATGATTTTCCGAGGAAGCAAGAAGCAGACAGTCATTAGAAAGGGTAAGGAAAATTGAGTAGGTCAGGGGAGAGTGAGCGAAGAAGAGGCTGAGCAAGATATGAGAATAATGTCTCATGCAAATCTTTCTTCACTTCTGTGCACATCAACCTCAGTACTCTGAAGAGCTCATCAGCTTCTCGGGTTATGCACTCCGGGGATCAGATGGAATTAAAATATTCCTACCAGGAGGGTACACATGTGAGAACAAGGCCACCTGAACACCAGCAACCTGTAATTAACCAGACTGGGCTTCTGCCGAAATTATAGTCCTTCGACAGAAACCCGCAAGTCCCCTTGAAAGGGTATCCAGCGTGGAACGGCGGCGTCACTGACCGTGGGGGCCCAATTCCCGGGGCTCAGGGCAGTCTCATAACCCACGCTGTGAAGCCAGCTTGGCAGGCTCCCCTTGAGAGCCATGCTCCAGCAAGGCTGTGTGTTACTGAATCCTGGCATTTTTCTCACATCCCCAAAACTGTAGAGTTGGTACCAAGTGAGTTATGTGAAATTAAGTTCCAAAAGGGACACTTTGGAAAATCGTAACATTGCAAACGTCTCAATATTTTGCCTGCCAATGTCAAGTACATTTCCATGTGTGAGGAAATCTTTCAGTTAATATTTCATTGTTCCCAGACAATTCCTGAATCTCTTCCCCATTCTGTTACTGAAAAGGTCTATTAGTAATAGGAATAGGACTACAGTAATATTAATAATGGCAAACACATATAGCAATTACTATGTACCCGGCACTGTACCAAACACTTTATTTATACTAACTCAATGAATCCTGCCTACTATCTTCTGAAGTGGGTACTATTTGTAACTCCTATTTTAAAATGACGATATAAAACACTGAGGGATTAAGGTCACACAGTAAGTGGCAAAGCCAGGATTCAAACCCAAACAATCTGGTTCCAGAGCCACTCTTGGCAATGAGGCTCTACTCCCTAACCAGATGACCAGTATCGGATTTGGGTTCCGTCCTATTAACCCCTCATCATCATCAACACACACAAAGAAAGAGAAATATACTCATCCTAAGATATACTCTCAAACATACATTTCAGTATCCTTCAAAGTCAAGTCCTGCAGCTCTCTCTAAAAGAAGCCTGGGGTGGGGGCGCGGGAGGAGGCAGTGTGGGAGGGGCCGGGTGGAGAAAGGTAGCCCGATGGGTGCATTAGGCTTGTCCTATCTAACCACAGGGGAATTATGGAGGAGCTGTGGCTGAATGATGCCAGGCCCAGCCGGAGTCCACCTCCTCTTGAACAGGGATGATGTGGAAACTCCACTTTGCTTATATGCAAGGTTATCTGGGTGACCCAAGGCCAACTAGGCTGAGTTCTACCCCAGCACAAGGGTTAAATGGGGAGGATGGAGAAGCAAGCATACATCAGTGCTCCCTGCAGGTCGCTTACAAACCTCCAGATAATGCAGAAGAAATTCTGGGGATTCACATCATCAAAGGCAATAATAGTGCCTGCTTCAACTTCTCATTTTCAAAAATATCAGTATCTGCTCAAGAGCCTGTGATCAAGCATTGAGTAAACATGTAAAAGTGCTCACAAGATTCACTTAGTTGGTTTACCATTCATCAGAATCCTGATCGCTGCTAAGGTGGTTTTGATGTCATAGTTTCTTTTGCGTATACTCTTGAACACATTGTTTAATCTATACCCAAAAACAACCGGAGGTAAACTACAAGTTGAGCACAGAGTAGGTGATAATTCTGCAAAATCATCCAAAGATTGCTCTTCATCTGACACCTTATTTACTTATTACTTAATTTTACTTATTCATTTTCTAAGATTTTTCTTTTTTTGACTTTATTTTTATTTATTCATTCATTCATTTTTTTAAGTAGGTTCCGCACCCAGTGAGGAGCCTAATGCCGGGCTCAAACACGACTCCGAGATCAAAAGTCACACACTCCACCAACTGAGCCAGCCAGGTGCCCCTAAATTTACTTACTCTTATATAGTGTATCAGGATGTCTCTAGAACTTAACAGGTCAATGTTTGAAAACAAAAAAAACGATTAAAAGGGACCACAGCGTGATGATTATATTCAACTAGTGTTTTCATTTACTGGGAATAAAAATTATCTACACATTGTGTTAATTTTTAGAAATGCTTGCAAATAGCCACCTGAAACCTTATCTAATTTAGAAACAAAATCCAAAAATAAAATTTATAATATCAGTAAAACATGAAACCATTTATTTTCTTTTCATTTTTTAAAAGATTTACTTACTTGAGAGAGAGAGAGGGAAGGGGGAGGGAGAGAGTTAAGAGCGAGGAGGGGGGTGGGTGTAGGCAGAGGGAGAGGGAGAAGCAGACTCCCCACTGAGCAGGGAGTCCACACAGGGCTTGATTCTAGGACCCTGGGATCATGACCTGAGTGGAAGGCAGGCGCTTAGCTGGCTGAGCCACCCAGGTACCCCTGTTTTATTTTCTTTAAGTTTTTTTAATTTTTTCTTTTCCTAAAGTAATCTCCACATTCAACATGGGGCTCCATCTCACAACCCTGAGATCCGGAGTCAGATGCTTTGCCGACTGAACCAGCCAGGTGCTGAAAAAAATTGTATTTTAAATAAATTTTAATACAAATTTTAAAGGACACCTTGGTGGCTCAGTCAGTTGGGCATCTGCCTTCAGCTCAGGTCACGATCCCAGGGTCTTGGGATTGAGCCAAAGTCAGGCTCCCTGTTCAGTGGGGAATCCACTTCCCCCTCCCCCTCCCCCTGCTCAAGCTCTCTAATAAATAAAATCTTTAAAAAAAAATACAAACTTTAATAATTTGTCAGCCAGAAGAATTTTTCACTTTAACTATTATGTACCATGTAGAAACATTAAAACTATTTTTTAATCCCTAAGGGAGTTACTAAGATTACATATTACTCAGAAACAAGCAAGAAAGGGATCTGTCATTTGGGGGGAAAAGAAAAAGTTTAAGTACACTAGCTTTAGGGCGCCCGGGTGGCTCAGTTGTTAAGTGTCTGCCTTCGGCTCAGTCATGATCCCAGGGTCCTGGGATCCAGTCCCACATCGGGCTCCCTGCTTCGCAGGAAGCCTGCTTGGTCTCGCTCTCTCTCTGTCAAACAAAATGTTAAGTACACTAGCTTTAGAAAAGCTTATTTTTTTCAATTTATTTTTGGTATGCTGCATATTCAAGAAAAATTTTAAGTTACAGAAAATCTTATTATCACAAGCACATGGGATTCCATGCAGAACGACTTTCTCAACTTGATATTG